GTCTTTATGTGTATATAAATGTCTGTGTTCATGTGTCATGGGGTACATGTGTGCACATATGTAATATATGTGTATGAGTGTGAAGGTCAGGACAACATATGGTGTCGTTCCTCAGATGCCTTCGACCCTTGTTTGAGACAAGGTCCCTTACTGGCCTTGCATCACTTTTCTGTTGCTGTGGTAAGACTTTGGCCAAGGCAACTTACAGAAGAAAAGAGTTTATTTGAGCTTATTGTTCAGAGGGATTAGAGTCCATAATGGCAAGACATGGCGGCAGAGGTGGCCGGAGCAGAAAGCCAAGTGATCACATCTTCAAGCAGGCGCAGAGAGCGGCTGGAAATCTGGCAAGGCTAAAGAACTCTCAAAGCCTGCCTCCAGTGACGTGCTTCCTCCAGCAAGACCACGCCTCCTAAAGCCTCCCAAAAAGCGCCACCAGCTGGGGACATAATGACCAAATTCTTAGTGTCTATGGGGGGATTCCCATTCAAACCACCACAGCCTGAAACTTCACTAAGTAAGTTTGTCTAGATGGCCAGCCAGCTCCAGGAATCTGCCTGTCTCCATCTCTCACTACTGCTGGGATTACAAGTGTGTACCACCACACCAGCTTTTTATGTGGATTCTGGTGATCTTAACTCAGGTCCTCATGCTTATGAGGAAAGCTCTTTACTGACTAAGCCATCTCTCCAGCTTCCCTATTAAGTCCCATCACCAGCCCTTTGGCTAATTTCTGCCCAATCCCTGCTCCACTTATAGGATTAGTTCTTTCAGGATTGTGGCAGAATCTGGTCCCTCCCAGATCTACTGTAGGAGTGGGATTCATTCTAGACATCTTCAGTATGCTCTGCTATCTCACATACGACGTAATTCTATGGGACACGAGAAGAGCAAGTGTCATTGACATGGGGTGCGTGGTCAGCTTGACAACCAAGAGCTGAAGTGGGCAAAAGACCAGCAAGGTGTGGGGAAGCCTCGGGCTGAGCCCCATGAAGGCAGTGATGGTGAGGAGGAGGAGAGGCACACGGGAGGGGCACGGAGTGGGAGAGGCACACTGGGAGGGGCATGGATGGGGTCTAAATTCAAGCCAAGCAGGGGTTGGGGGCATGCTGTGCAAGTGCAGGTGGCAGGCAGCAGATCCTGAAACCTCAGTGACAATAACTGTCAAGTCCTTAAAGGGACTGATGGCATGGACCCAGGTATGTAGGGTGCTTGCTTTGTTTATAGGGAAGCCGTTCCGACAGCCCAGTGGGTGCCTGAAAATACAGACTGTACCAAACCCTATATGCAGAATGATTTTTTCTTACACATGTGTACACAAATTGGGTGTTTTATCTGTTGTAACTAATTCCCTATGGCACACAATGTCTAACTTTTGCTGTTAGGAGTGTAATAGCAAGATAAGCATGAATTTTATTTTCCTTAAAACTTCACAGAAGATTCTTGTTACAGATTTCAGCCATCTCAGTTTAAGATTTTACTGTCAAGCACTTCTACCTTTTTACCTAAAGAAAATACTTTATGGCTTCTCTTCGGCATATCCAAATTGCCAGCATTCCTACAGTTACATACTAGGGCCATTATCAAGTAAAACAAAGGTGGTATGAGCAGTTACTCTGTGATACTGTGACTCCTGCTCTGACCACTGACATGGCTGTCAGATGACTGAGAAGGTGGCCTACACAGCACAGACACCATGCACAAAGGGAAGATTCACTTCCCAGGTGGGAATGAGCCAGGTAGCAAAGACATTTGATCATACTCTTCAGAATAACATCCAATTTAAAACTTACGAATCATTTACTTCTGGAATTTTCTATGTAACATTTTCAGACCTTGGTTGACCACAGGCAAACAGATCTGTGAAGGAAGGAAAAACTGCAAAGTAGGCGACTGTCTTATAAAGTGTCCCAGTGTGAGTATGTCGGTTCAGGACTCAGGCACCTCCTCTGAACAGCTGAGCTGTTTAAATACCTTCTCTGCTGAGGCAGCCAGGATAGACTAGACAGGAACAACTCCAATGCCCTAATGACTTACAATAACAAAAGTCGATTCCTCATTCCTCCAACATCTGTAGGTGGTGATGTGGGGAATGTGGCCTCTTCCCTCCATATAGACCCCACCCAGGACCCAGGATGACTCCTGGTATTGACTTCAACAGGAGGCCCATGTTTGCCCGTGAGTTTGTTATCACTGACTATTAACAATGAAATGTTTTGGAGTTCTCTGTTCCGATTTCATTCGATCTGGTGGGAGAGGTCAGGGGAAGTTTCATACTGCCTTGTGCTGAGAAGAGGAGAGGGAAAGCGAGTCCAAGACAAGGGCTGGACAAACACTCCACAGAGGGCCTTGAGTTCTGAAACACTGCCAGTTTGCAGCCTGGAGCTGGGATTTGCTGTAGACGAGTCAAGCCTAGCCTCATGGAGTGTAGCTTTTTGTCCTTTCACTAATGGACGTTGCCTTTAGCGTATGAGAATAATGTAAAACTTAACCATTGCCATCAGAGTTGACCATTTTATTTCCCTGAGGGAGGTTGTCTGTCCCTTCAGTGAACTGTCCAAGCTCTCTCTTCTTGTCATCCTTATGCAAACCATTAGCTGATTAGCTTCAGCTAGGGATGTAGCCTGTGGCTAAAGAAAAGCCCTACAACTGGTCCAGGGACTAAACCATTATCTTTAGTTTTATTAGCATCATGCCTTAAGTGGCTCCTATTACTACACTTCAAGATCTTAATGAAATAACTCAAGTCTAGAAAAATCTTAATTCTGGGGCTGGAGAGATGGCTCATCCGTTAAGAACACTGGTTGTTCTTGCAGAAGACACAGGTTCGAATCCCAGCACCCACATGGCAGCTAACAACTGTCTGTAACTCCAGTTCCAGGGACTCTGATGGTCTCTTCTGTCCTCCGTGGGCATTGCACGACATGGGTCCACTTACCTACATGCGGGCAATACACTCATACACATAAAAATAATAAATAAAATATTAGAAAAAAGAAAAATCTTAATTCCACACATTTAAATAAATCCTAAGCAATTACATACATATATTGTGATTGCTAGTGTTAAATGTCAATGTAATAGAATCTGGAATCGCTTGGGAAATGGACCCCTGGGCAGGCCTATCGGAGCTTATCTTAATTATGTTCAATCGGGTGGGAAGACCTGCCCACTGTAGGTGGTACCATTCCCTTGCCCGGGGATCCTAGTATGACGTAAATGAAGTCAGGGAGCTGAGCAGTGGCCGTCACTGTTTTCCGCTTCTTGATTGTGAATGTGATGTTATCAGCTACTCTAAGCTTTGCTGACTGCCCTATGGGTGATGGACTGGACTTTTGAACTGTGAGCCAGAGTAAGTTCTTTCTCTCTTAGGTTGACTTTGCCAGGTATTATAGCAACTGAAACTAAGATGTATATACAGTGAGGCATAAACACAAATAAACGGCTACCTCTCAGAACATGGAAGCCGCGTTTGAAGTTTAAGGACCATTTTGAAGGACTGCTGCACTTGCATAGAATGGCAATTCATTTCCATTGTAAAACTCGGTGTGGAAGTGTCTCGGCTCTGGATTCCCTCAGTAGATGCTTCAAAAAAAATATTCTGCTCCTAGACAGTGCCTCAAGGCTTAACAATGGTGGCATGAACTGGATTTCCAGAGCATTCGAAGAATGCAAAAGCTGCAAAAGACTTGATGTGGCCCTGGCCAGAGTGTCATGGGAAGGGGGAACACTCCCACGTACCCATCCTGGACCGCACTCCCAAATCCTCATCACCTTCGAGACTGGAGATCACACTGACTGTGACTTTTGTTAAACTGAGCCACTTGAGGAAGGGAAATGTCTTGGAAAATGCTTGCAAATGTTGATGCTCTATCTGGCTGCGGTGGCAGGCTCTTGAAAAACCAGCAGTCTGGGCTTTTCTTGGCTCCAGGTGAAGAGGTGACTTCCCTCTTTGATTCAGTGTTCATAATTGGGCTGTCTGTCAGCCGAGGTGGTGGGAAAACAATGCTAATGAGGTCAGGGGTTCAATGCCCACGTAGGTCAGTTAACGCTTGTCTGTTCTTGGGCCAAAAGTCTATATCCTGTAAGTCTGTCTAGCTGCTTGGATGACAGGGAGGCTGAGGGACTGTGAATGGTTCTCTCTCCAATCCTGGTCTTCCTGCTGAAGGAAACAACTTCAAGTTCATATCTTTGTGTCAGCAAGGCCATCTTCAGGCATGAAGAACTACCCAGTAAGCAGCAGTGACCGGAATAAATAGGTCTAATTGCCTGGGTTGACGTGGTGGATTAGTGGTTCCAACCTGAGCAACAACTTGGTTTCTTATTCTAATGAGAAGACAGCAACACCAAAATCATCCTTCTCCACAGACAGTTTTTGATTTCTTAGTTGCCAAAATTTTGATGTTTTCTAAACATTTGTGTAAGGAGTAAAATAGATTGCTTTGGATTTCTTTTCTCTCTGTAAATTTCTTTTCTTGACACTCCTAGGCATTCCAAAGACTAACAAAATACTCAGAGAGCCAGAAGAAGCCCAAGTGTTCCCACAGGTAGATCCAGCCCCAGAGCCACTTAGATTTTGCTTTTAATCCTAATTCCTGATCCCCACCTCCCAGCCCCAGGCTATGCGTGTTTCCTCAGAAGCACTGTCTTCTGTTTGTAGCATAATGCTACAGGGATCCAACAAGACACTAACCCAGCATGGTAGGAAAGCCATAGGCTTCCACATGGGACAGATTTGGTCTTACAACCCCCTAGCTTTGCATGTATGTCTGCAGAGTGTGTAGCTGGGAAAGCTCTTCAATCACTTGAACCTCAGTTTCCTTATTCATAAAATGGGGATATTAATGTTTATGTCAAACCAATGTTGTAAGAATTGCATGGTGATATACGAGGTCAGGCAAGTTTGGAGCAATATTTGGCATGTTTTAGGTATTTTTCTTAATGGCTGGGGTTCGTAACATTGCATATACTTCTTCCCTTGTCCTATGTGTAGGACATCCATTCCTAAACTCTCCTTGGCAGATGCTGCTGAACGTCTTCCCACCTACCTCAGCTCACCTGAATCACGAGCAGCTGCATTAGACAGTTGACACCTTCCATCTCAAGAATCTGGCTCTCTCTGCTTTTTTCCTTGAGGGAGTTCAAAGGAACTTGCAAAACTTCACGTGAAGAGTGTGCTCTCAGCCCTCCACCAAACAGAGGAAAGGAGTGCTGGACATTTCCCCTCCTGCAGGTGAGAGATGCAGGCCAGGGGGTGCCTCAGGGGATTCTCGTGCACTTGACCTGATGCGGTCCACGGCAGAAACCCCCGTCAAGCCTGGTTTGTTCGTTTCTCTTTCTTTTCTTCACTTTCCACATTTCTGCACTTGGGATTCCTGCTTGACTTTGGGAAAATAAGCTTTCATTCACCTGATTATCTATTTCAGGATTTGATTGTTTGAGAACCCAAACTAAAATACCTACCTCTTGGCATTACTTTTATTTTTAATTTTGAAAGTTTATATGTAGTAAAATAGATCTTTAAATGCAAGTAGTTGAAGGATGGAGCTATAGCTCATGGGCAGAACACTTACTTAGACTATACAAGGCCTTAGGTTTAACCAATCTATAACACTGAAAAGCAGGATGGGGAAGAGGAGGAGGAGGGAAGGGTAGGAAGGAGGGGGAGAGGGGACAGCGAGAGTGGTTCTGTGAGTTTGGAGTTTTAACAATAATTTTATTAATGTAGCTACCACTATAGTGAGGGCACAAAATAATTATCTCACACCAAAAATATTCCCTTATGTCGTCGTTTTAGAGTCAAACCACCCTCACCCCGTCCCTAACCTATGGCAATTGCCCCCATGGGGTTTCCATTTTTAGAATGTTATGCAGTGTGAAGCCTCTTGAGAGCAGCTTATTTCACTCAGTGTGAGGCCTTTGAGGCTCTTCTATGCTTCTGTACCCTAGTTCATCCCCTTCCAAGGCTCACACGCCATGGATATGAGACAACTTGTCAATGTACTCGGAGAACGTTATCCCCAGGTTTTGAAGGTTATGAGGAATGATGATGTAAACATTCACACCGATGTCTTCATGTGGCCTGAGTTTTCACTTCTCTGGGGTAAATACCCAAAAGTGGACTTGCTGTGTCACATGGTGAGGTGAGCGTGTTCCAGTTGCTCCACATCCTTGTCAGTGCTTGGTGTTGTTAGCCGTTCCACCTGGGGAGGTATTTCACTGTGATGGACTCTGCAGCTCAATGGCTGGTATTGGGAAAGTTCCTCATTTGTTTATTCTTGCACACATTTCTTGATGGAATATCCAATTTTTTCTCATTTACTTGATTGTTTTTTTCACAGTTGAGTTTTAAGAGTTCTTCATGGATAGATCCTTTTAAAGATTTATTTTTATGTTCTTTAAATGTGTGTGTGTGTGTGTGTGTGTGTGTGGTGTATGTGCACGTGAGTATAATCATCCGTAGAGGCCAGAAGAAGGTGTTAGGTCCACTGGAGGGGAGTTACAGGCAGTTGTGAGCTACCCAACGTGAGTGCTGGGAACCAAAATTGGCTTCTCTGCAAGAGCATCTGTACTCCTAACTACTGAACCATCTCTCTAGTCCCATAAAATACACATTTTGAAAAAGAGCAATTCCATGTCAGATACATGATTTATAAATATTTTCTCTTGGTCTGTAGCTTTTCTTTTCATTCTTTTAATCAGAGGTTTAGAGGGACTATGGGCCTTCTTTGAAAACCAAATACACGTTACACACACTCTCACACACACGGAACACAATATAGAGAAAGTATATCAACCTGAGACTCAAACATGTTTGAATCCTGGTTCACTTGCCATGTTGCAGACTAACATGTTAATTTCCATAACTTTAAAATACTGATAATAGTACTTGCCACATAATAAAGTACTTACCACAGAGGGTGACTGTGAGGGTTCAGTGACAGAATATATACCATTTTACCCCAGTGCCAGAACATTGTGAATGCTGAACAGACATTAAGGTTATATTCCTATTATAACATTCTCCATCTGTGAGCCCTTGCTTATGCTGGTCCCTCTGCTTGGACTATTTCTCTGCCCTCACACCAAACCGCTTACTCCTGATTCTCATCACTTCCTGTTCAAGGGAGCCCTCCGGCGTGGACCAGGCACTCTTTCTTGGCCCGCCCGTCCCATCCTTTAATGAGCTATCACACTGTTTACGGGGTCAGGAAGCTGGGAGCAACTCCAAGACAGGAGACGCTTTATTAGTCATCTGTTCATGATTTCATACGTGTATGTGCAGCTGAACAAATGAATGCATTCATTTCATCCTGGTTGGAGTTCCAATTGGACATTTCCCCTGAGCATCACCACAATTCAGTTTCTTAAACACCATAAACAAATGCCTGTGACTTACTCCAGGTCCCTGCTCACAGTCAGCCAAACACATTGCATCTTTGACGAGTTGGATGCCGAGTGGAGAAACTTGAATGTTTCCATCTATTTACTTTTACCACATGCCATAGAAATTAAAAATACATTGTACCACAAGTGCCATATTTAGTGTCTCACTTTAATTACATTCAAGTGTGTTGCTAAATAGTCTTGAGAAAACCTTAATGACCAGCTGTTCTACCCTTTTCCCATATGTCAGAGATGGTTTCTAAAATCACATTCTGGGACAGTAAGGTTGTATAATTAGACAGTGTATAGTTAACACTTCTAGATTTTCCTCTTAAACTGTGGGGCCTTTACACTAACATATTGTGTGATTCTGCCACTTTGGCACAATACCATAAAATGATGAACCAAAGAGAAAGGGAAGATTCACAAACTCCAAGTATAATCACTCAAGTCTTTTCATCACGAGGATTCTGCCTGTGTATGTTTGTGTGTACGCGTGCGCATGCCACAGACACATGCTATGCAAAATTCAGTGTGTTCAGCTGAAAAACTTACTAAAGAGGGCCATCAATTTTTAATATTCTTTCATAATGCCATTTATCTCATTAGAATTATATTTTTCTCATTCTTTCAAACAAAGAGGGATCACTCAAATGCATAGCAACCATTAAAGGAGACAGAAAAAACCTGAAAATTCACGATTGGAAGCAAAGACAGTATTTCACACAGTTTCTAATGGGGGAGATGGGAATCTTTTCTTGCTATTGCTAAACTGGATTTTGGAGATAAAAGATGAATTTAGACACACAATTTGTTACTTCAAGGAAGCTGTGGGATGCTTGCCAAAGCTGCTCTCGGTGCAGAGCATTGTCTTGAAAACATAGTAATACTTCGTTTGATTAACAACTTGTTCAATTCTTAAAATATTTTAAAAGACAGTGAAATATGAATGTAAAATAAGGAAAGAGAACATTCTACCTAGATGATGGTTTTTGCTCCTCTCTCAAAGAAAAAGCCCTTGGTGCTGTCCTGAGCCACAAGTCAACAACGAAACTGATTTCTGATCAGAATTGCTCTTATGAATATAGACCCAGCTCATGGTCATGGCTTTCTGGAATCTTAAAGCAGCAGATTTGTCTTTGAAAAAGCCTGAGAGAAGGAGCTACACTCTCCTGATAAGACTGATTTACAACAATTTTGTCTTACATGCTTAAATTTCCAGTGACTTAGAGGTAAGCACTGACAGCTGTAATCGTGTTTTAAATCTTGCTTTGTAGCCTGGGTTAGAATGGTGTTCAATTAATATTCAGAATAATGGAAGTGATGTGCTGTTTTGAAAAGGACTTGAACACAATTCAATGCTTTGGGAAACTGACTCTCAGGAGGATTAATCAGCATTTAGAACTCTCATTAATAAAAACCCAACCTTCCACCATGTGGCATGCAGAAGACTGTTTTTGTACATTTGGTTGAACAATATGGCCTCCCTTGTCCTGACTTTTAAGGGGATTTAAAAAATGAGCTCCTGGGGATGGAGAGATGGCTCAGTGGTTAAGAACACTGACTGTTATTGCAGAAGACCTGGGTTCAAATCCCAGCACCCACATGGCGGCTAACAACTGTCGGTAACACCAGTTCCAGGGAATCTGATGCCCTCTTCTGTCCTTAGCAGGCACTGCACAACATGGGTGCACTTATATACATGCACTCATACACATAACATAAAATAAAAATAAATAAATAGGGGCTGGGGAGATGGCTCAGCGGTTAAGAACACTGCTTGTTCTTGCAGAAGACCCAGGTTTGAATCCCAGCACCCACATGGCAGCTAACACCTGTCCGTAACTCCAGTACCAGGGGATCCAACAGCTTCTTCTGTCCTCTGCGGGCATTGCATGACACGGGTGCACTTACCTACACACGGGCAATACATACATACAC